TTCTCTGAAAAACATACTTCCAATACTTCTTGAAACGCTTATGTTGTCACGACCCCAAATTCCAAACCTAAAAGGAATATTAGAGCCGGACTGAACCTATGAAAATTCCTCCAAAATATGCATTCATTAAAAGACCATCAAAATAATCTCTTCATTGATCTAACACCAACAATAAATATTCTCTATAATCCAAAAAGTCAACATTAATCCAACTAACTTGTTATAACAAATATTCCTCAACTTGAAATAAAACTCGACCTAAAGGAAAAATCTCATTATTACAAAACTCTTATAACAAATATTCCTCAACTTGAAATAAAACTCGACCTAAAGGAAAAATCTCATTATTACAAAACTCTAAATATCAACTAAGCATCAAAGACTTTATTCAACCTTCACCTAGAAGATAATAACAATTCCGAATTTTATTCCTTGCCCTGTTCTAAGAATTTGAAAAAATCATCAATTCAACCTAATCCTGAGTCACTGAAAAGAATGAAAACAACACGGTGAGTTCACAACTCAATAAGTGGATAAATTCATACATTAGACACTGGTTTTACAAACCTAAAATAAATTGACTTGATAAAAAAAATACTAAAATAGTAAAAATTATAATGCAACATTTTCAAAATATATACATGCAATGGAAATAAGCAAGTCATGTCTCAATGCGGTCAACACTTCGATACTCCGGTTGACTTGGCAAACCCCACTATTATATAGCCCGTGGTCGGGACGGTGAGACCCAAACTTGGGCTCTTAGCGCTAAAATAAAAACCTCATAGAGGCACATTGAGCCATGTTTTAATAACTTGCTTATATCCGACATATACCGGTATATTGACCTGAGATGCATATGCTTTAAGAAAATTAAACAAAGTTCATAAAACTAAATACGTTATACAAAAATTCCAAAGGCCAACCAATAGTGAAATCAATCAACCACAAATGCATCTCAACCTACTACTATATGAAAAGACAAAATCATTGACAAAGAAAATAAGCATAGGCTTATACCAAATATCCATGTGCATCACCTCGGAATCAACTTTTAATATGTGAGTAAATCACACAAAAGGATATAATCCATCAGAAATAAATTCGTATATAACTAATATAATTTTATATGAAAAATACGCAGTGCATAATGCATGAATTCACCACTTACCCAAACCCGAAAAACTACTGGAATACCAATCACGATGCCTCCTCGAAGTCACTTGAAACTCCTAAAGAGTACATATAAAATAATCATCAATACAAGCCTCCTAATGAAAATTAACCCATATTAAACTATTTAAACAATATATATTATATTAATAATTTAGCACACCAAGCTGTTCCCTCTACTATTATCAATCAGTAAATAAAGATCAGTCAGGTCTAAGCAAGTCCAAAAATTTAATATTTCATGTCCTACCACATATGGACAACCATGATTTTAAATTATTTTTTCTATACAAAAAAAATCTCAAAGAAGAGATGAATGGATGTTGTATTAGGCTAAAAAAAGAAAACATCTATGACCATGAGAACAAGGACTAATATAGCAGCAAGTAGCTTGTAGCTTGTCCACCATGGCCATGGCTTCAAGGCACAAGTCTCCAGAGAAGAGGAACGCAAGAAAGAAAAAATAATACATAAACAACCAGAGGCGGCAGCATGGGGGTAGGGTTTCGGGTATACTGAAAAGTCTTTTTTTGCTATTAGTACCCTCTAACACTATTTGCATAAAAACCCCTTTACTTTTCCTTATATATATCTAGCCAAAAACCTAGAATTATTACATATGTGGTGCCTACGTGTCATCTTTACTTTTAAAATATTTTTTCAATACTCAATACTCAGAAGTAGCTTAGAAGTAGTTAAAATACATATTAATTAGGAAATAAATAATTTTTATTAATATTTTCTTTATTAGTTACTTCTACCAACTTTTCATTGATAAAATTACTCTTAATTTTAGTAATTATTTTGTAGTAATTTGTGATGGTCGTCGGCCAGCTTTTCTTTAGGATCAAGAGAACATTTTGTCTATTAATTTTTTAGCTAATTACCACATTGATGTTACGATCAAAGGAGTGAGGGAGGAGGAAAATTGGAGATTCATATAGGAATTTATAGTCATCCGGAGTCTCATCGTAGGCGAGAGGTAAACAATTATTTTGAAGCTATGTGCTTGAAGGATTCTTCTTGCTCTCAAGTGACGAGAGATCATAGCGGCATAAAACTGGTTGTAACGTGCTAGATCAAATTAAAGAGCGTGATGTAGCTTTAAAATTGTGGAAGCAACATGTGTTACTTACTTCCTATTAATATTTCCAAATGTTATCCAAACAAAAAAAAGTAAATGAAGAGGAATAAGTTCTACTTCCATTACTTCTAAAAATATATGAAACAAAAAAAAAACTATTTTCACTACTTCCTACTTTATAGTTTTAAAAGTTACTTCTATAACCTACTTCTTACTTCTAATATTTCCATTATCCAAACGTGCTTAAGTAAAAAAAAAGCTCATAAAAGTGGCTATATTTTGATTCAGCTTCTCTTAAATCAAAACAGAATTAGTTCAACTCAAAGTTAGATTATGGTTAGTCATGGCGAAAGAGTTCCCCAAACAGAGAATGTGTATATTGCACACTTTTTTTAAAGGGAAGTGAAAACTATCAAATCTGATATAGATTTGCTCACATATGCGCACACATGGCATGTTGGCTTCTAAACGCTAAACCATATCTGTATTAGAGGTAAAATCTGTAACCATATCCATTAGGATTTGGATATGGTTATTGAAATCTATTACCGATAGGACATGATAACTGATAAGATTTTATAGTAAAATATCCGGATTCGTGTCCAAAATATCCGAAAACAAATTAGTCATATTGTTACAATAGTTTTAATCATTAGATTATGGATTTGAGGTTAATTTCGATGATCAAGATGTCTAATCTTAGCTTTTCAGATATAATGAACATATTAACAAACTCTTTTGTATCACATGAACTATATTTTTTTTTCAATACTTTCTAGTTTTCTCATATTCGTTTTGTATCTGCATGCATATCTGCTTTTATATCCGCATGTATATCCGTATCCGATTTTAGTGGATATAAATATGAATTTTCCTTACTGAGATATATCTGCATCCATATACGTATCCGTATCCGAGATGGGTAAGCATATATAGATATGATAAGTATCATCTCCGAGCCGTATCTAGACCGAATACACCCCTACTTCTAACTCAAGGGCAAATGCGCAGACTATGAACCAATAATCCCAAACTCAAGTAAAGCTCAGACATTATAAACTTACCATCAAAATCACATCAAAAAAAAAATCATAATCTCTAATGTGCTGATAAGATAAGGATTTGTATTCTTCAACAAATAATAGATAACTAAGAAAAAACAAAAACTCCCCCATATGCAATCTCAAACTCTTCTGCCCACTTGCACTCCCACAAGAATTAAAGCCTATTTGGCATATTTCGGTTTTAGAACCTGGACCTCAAATCTCACCCAAAAAGCCCATGGGCCCCACCCTAAGATCTCAGAGCCTTCTTCACCAGCCGAATGGGCCCCCATCTGAAAGCAACTGAAGAGGTCGGCACGCGCCTGGGCCCAGCCCAATTCACAACAACCATCCATAGTTGAGCTCTCCATCCCCCTCCCCACTCTCAAATCATAGTATCTAATAAAATTTTAAAGAGTTATTTTCTTTTACTTTGCTACCCAAAATTTTTTTAGTCTTTTTTTGCCTTTTGAGTTTGACGAGGGAACTCCCTCACGATCATTCGGACAATGAGTACCAAACTCCCAAGTGCGACTAAGGAGCACTTCCCAACACACAAGGTAAAAAAGTCGAACCTGAGACCTTAGAGTACTACTCTTAAGCGGTTTATCAACTCGTCTAGACCCTCTTGGATTTATTCTTTCTTATTTTAGTACTAATGAAGTTTAAATTTGCTCAAAAAGTCATCATGAATCTTTAAGAAGGTATTAATAATGTCATCTAAGAATGTGAAACGACACATGTATCCTTTTAATAATCATTTGAAAAAGAGAAGATGGGAATTCATGAGTTTTCTTTTCAACGAAACAAGTGGGAAACATATTCACAAGTAATCGCGATACTCATATGATCTAATTCCAATGAGATACTTTGTTACGTTAAGACTCTAAACTCCTACAAGTCAGAGAGAAAACGAAAAGGACATAAAAATCATAAATGATTTGGTTTTTTATGTGGCTTGATAATTTGCTTGCGTCCACGGCTGCATTGGGGTTTCTTTCTTTCTTTTTAATCGAGTAACAATATAAGAGAGACCACTCATATATAGATAGAGACTATGATTACATGCTACATGCGAAATTATAGATTTACTCTTCCGCAATTTTTTCACAAATCAGTGCGTCAGCTCACACAGTCTCCAACACTTTACCCATGAAATGCATGAAATTACTTGTTGACAAGACAATTACTAATTTTTTAATAAAATTGATAAGGCTACTTGTCAATGTTGCAACCATAAAAACACGTATTGTAGTATGGATTTGGATCCTCTCCACTACAAAAAAATAGTGGAGAGACCACTGATTTTAATATCAATCGTTGATTATTTAGTAGACGGTTATGATACAATATAAATCTAACACTTACCATACCCCCGTGTATTGCACTCATTCCTAATTTGCACTACAAGATAAAATCATAACCATTAACTAGATAATCAATGGCCGTGATTATGTAGTGGTCCATCCACTGTTTTTTTTGTAGTGGAGAGGATCCGAATCCTGGGAAAGATTCATTTAAACTTTAGGATATCAACCTTTTAGAGTATAATTGAAAAATAGCAACCACATTTTTTTTTACTCATTTGCGGATAATCCAGACGGTTAGGCGGTTGCAATATGACTTGCAGGTCTTATGTTCGATTTCAGACAGTGTTACCCAAAAAAAACCTTAGATATCCAAATAAACACAAGTTTGGATTTTGATTTGGGAATCGTCATCTCTTCTATATATTTAACTTCGTTAATGAAATTACAGTGACAACATAAACCCCAAAATCTAAGAACAATAACAACCAACAGCGCTTGCTCTGCTCTTCTTGGTTCCTCACCAACGGTATCCATACCTCTATCCTCCCATCTCCAATATTACACGATCAGTCACTGCTCTTAAACGGCCGGTAAACTTTGAGATCAGAAACAACCCCGGCGATCGATCCGGACGCCGCTGCAATGGAAACCACCAAGCAGGCAAGGCTCAGCATCTTCAAGGAAACCCATCTCGTGCTCCACTTGGGCACTTTCTTCTGCACAATGTACATCTCTACGGGGAAGTAGACCGTCAACGGCCAGAACCCAAGAGCACCGAGCAGGCCGACGACGTCGTTGAAGAACGGCAGCAGCATTGAGATGACGGTGGTTAGAGCTACGAATGCTGATCTCCAAACGAGCCTGAAGAGGTTGAGGCCGTAGGACTTTGTTGTGCCCAGGGGGATGTGGACTTCCTTGGTGATGAATTTGGAGTTTGGCCAGGTGTTGGAGGCCCATTTCTCGACGAAGGCGAAGAGGGGCTGGCAGTAGACTTGGTAGCCCACGAGGGTGGAGACATGGCCGCGTTGGCGATCATGGACCAGAAGGGGTTAAACCAAGCCCGCGAGTGGTTCCTGGGCTGTCCGCCGAAGCGGCGTACCGAGCAGCCGCAGAGCTAGAAGACGTGGGACCTGACCGCTGACGAGGGTGGCCTTCTTCATCACCTTGGCTTCCGATGGCGGTGGAGCTCGGATTGTGTCCTGTGACAGACGAAGCAAAATTTTTAAAATTTTTAGGATTGGTTATACAAGTTACCTATGATTTATAGCCTATTTTGTTAGAAAACAGAGTTCATGACGGTGTTATTTTTAACCTCTTAAATTTAGTTCCTCTAATCATTAGACCAAAACTCCGAAGTTATGACAAGGATCGAGGATTATAGTTTTATATTAATTCTAACATGCTCCTGCAGGTTGAGCGTCCTTTTTATGGGTCGAAACCTGAACTCACGTAGCGGTGTCAATTTTTAAAAATCCGCATTTAATTCATGGCCAGTGGGATTTGAACCTGGGTTACTCTGATACCATCTTAAATTTAGTTCATCTAACCATTACACCAAAACTCTAAAGTTATGATAAGGATCGAGGATTATAGTTTTATATTAATTCTAACATAACCGGTTAGTTTTTAAACCCACATGGGAATCGTGTTAAAATGTTAATCGTGACAAATGTCTAACTAGCAATCGCCATCACATGATTGCGTGGTAATGAAAATAGATCATAAATGATAACACTCAATATTAACTCACATGCGTCTTCACAAGAATTTGGGAAGAAAAGGTACCTGGATTTCAATGAGAATGATGGAGTAAGAATACGCAAACGCGATGTCTCCAAAAGCCTGCAGGCTCCTCCAGACCTTTTGGGTCTCGGTAACGGCGCCGATACTGACTCCGGTGAGGCTTCCCTTGATCCCACCGTTAGCTATTTGAACCCAAAAAGAAAAAAAAAAGAGATGGAAATCAGCATCAAAATCTTCAATCTCTTAATTACCAAGATAAGAAAAAAACCAAGTGTTGCAAAACTCACCAACAGCTTGTAAAATGCCGAGGGAAAGTCCAATGAACGAGTAGGTAAATGACATGACAGCAGCAACAATTGACAGCCACGAAATCTGATCAAAGTCAGGGATTTGTGAAAAAACAAGCTCCGTGGCCCCAAATATGAGCATATAAGGAGTGCTGCTCATATGACAAGGATTCTTGTGCCCTTTCTCATGAAAACAGTTTGATCTCTTTATTGCCCTGCTCCCCCAAAAAAATTATTATTACTCCCCTGTTATAAATTAAAAAAAAAAAAAAGGAACGCTGGGTTTAAATTTAAAACTTACAGCATACTGATAGAAGCAGCTATAGTGTATCCAATTGCAACTCCGAAAAGATTCAAGTACTGAATGAATCCACAAACCTTCACCTTCAACCCCCCTGTATTCGTCGAATTTCGATAAGAAACTCGCCAATGGATCATATACCAAAAAAAAAAAAAAAAAAAAAAAATTCGTGAGAAAGCTTTACCAAGATTTGCATGAACAGCATCCATGTAAGTATAGTTTCTCTTTCCAGTCATCGGGTCACCAGACCGATAACAGTCAGCGAGGAGCGAAGAAGTGTAGTAAATCACAAAGGCGAAGAGAATCATAACAGAGGGGCCTGCGACCCAACCAAGTTGAGCAATGGCCCAGGCAAGTGATAAAACCCCCGAGCCTATAACTGCTGTGATTATATGGGCACTCGCAGTCAACACGGTCCCTGTAGAAGATTCTCAACTGGTTAGATGAAAATTTGACGAAGTTTTTGAGATCGATCCGGAGGAAAATGGGGAAATGGGTTGTTCTAATTTCTGGCTACCTTTTCTTTTGAGTTTGCCATCGTCGTCGTAGCATTTGGAGTCCGCTTGAGGTTGTTGGGTGCTGATGTCTATGGAGACGTCCATTGCGGGCAAACCCATCTTGAAATTTTGCAGAAAATTTTGAGTTTAGTACCCTGTAACTGCTGATGTAACTGCAAATAATGCAACAGTTTGTTTTTTGTTTTTTGTTTTTTTTAAGAGAGGAGAGAGGAGAATGAGAGGGGAGATGGAGAGGAGTTGTGGCCGGGGGGGGCTTTATATAGAGTTCAAGTGATGGGGAAAGGGAGGATTTTTTTTTTTTTTTGAATTTAATAGAGTATGTGACAAAAATTAATGTAATAATTGCTCACTATAGACCAAGGTCAACCCACGGGGATCCTCCTTCCATTAGTTTATTCAAACTCTCAGTAACCCCCCCACCCCCACACGGTTCAATGATTACAACGAACCCCCTTTCTTTTCTTGTAATTTATTTTTTGAAAAAAGAACAATTACACGATCAAAAAGATTTACCATGCTTGCGTCGACAAAGAATATTACTCTGGGTGTATTTATAGAGGTATTTCTCCTATTCTTACTTCATGTATGATTTCTTCTCATCGTGCTTTCAGAAATCCTAATTCTCTTAGGATCCCATCTAATGATGTTTTTTTAACTAGAGTAATCAAGTTTGAATTGTCAATGTGAAAGTTAATGGCTAAATACCCATATTGGTATTTTAATTCCACCTCATTTATCTTGAAGGTATTTTAATTAGGCAAACCTGCTTTAAAGTATTTTAATTGATTCAACTTACTAACAAGGCCTTTTTTTCTCGTCGGCGACCAGTTTTCCGGCGAGAGCACGTGCGTGGCACGTGATGGCTTAAACTGTTTTTTAGCTGCTGATGTGGCACGGATTTTCTGACGTGGCGGTGTTTAAAGGCGGGAATTAACCCTCTAAAAATCCCAATTCACCCAAAATAGGACAGATCCATGCCATATTAGCAGCTAAAAATCAGTTTAAGTCATCACGTGCCACGCACGTGACGAGCTCTCACCGGAAAACTGATCGCCGACAAGAAAAATGGCCTTGTTGGTAAGTTGAATCAATTAAAATGACTTAAAGCAGGTTTGCCTAATTAAAATATCTTCTTGGTAAATGGGGTGGAATTAAAATACCAATATGAGTATTTAGCCGAAAGTTAATTGTAGTAACTGGTAAGGTTTCAATCCTCCTAAAAGTAGGATTCGGTTTGAATTGTCCTCAATAAAAACTAGATTCTTAAGTTTTTGACTAGTTTTCTTACCTTTTGCTCGGTCCTCGGCCAATTCAGGCCACTAGTGAGATGAAGGAACGTCGAGAGCACTAGCAGGCTCTTTTTCCCCTTCCTTTTTTTTTATTTTTATTTTTTTGTAATTAATGTTGATTAAATTGGAAGCATTTATAATGCTATATATGTTGATTGAGGGGAAGGGCGCTAGTATTACATACAGCCTTTTTATTATAGAAAATTACTTATTATGTTCTAAATCTCTTATTAGCACTTTGTACTATAGAAAAATTAGTTACTATGTTCTAAATTTCTTATCAGCACTTAAATGTTTGATGCGCAAACTAAGTTATGGCTCCCTTCTCAATTCCTGTTATGTGGATTTCATATCACATCAACCTGTTGTAGAGAGCACTTAGTTTTTTTTACTAAAAACAGGGGATTAAAAACCCCGTTCATTAAAAATAAAGATTTCTTTACAAAAGAAGACACGAATTGTGTCCATAGGTTGGAGAAACAGAAAGCATGAGATCTGTGAATTAGGGACGCATAACCTTCTTCTTCCAAACATTCATGAGGGTGAAGTTTCGACCTTGCCCGCATTCACCACATACATAGATATAAGGAAGAACCAAAGCCAACCATGCATACAAAAAATAGATGCAAAGATTTCTAACTTCTAACTCCAAAAAAAAAAAAGATAATGTAATTTATCATACAAAATGTTTTTTTTTTAAATGAAGGAGACAGAAATTCTGAGGCGTGAAACACTTTCCTTAAAGAAATATTTGCCCTCGCTTGATATTCAAAGTTGCTTCGGGTTAATGCAAATTTCTTCCCAGGATACAATAGAAAATAAAAATTCCAGTAAGCAAATCTGGAATTTTCTTTAATTTGTTGTGAAACAAGTTTGTAATATTACAGATGTTTTTGATAGAAAAGATTCAGAAAAGAATTATTTTTAGATATGAAGAATTTAACTTTGCTAGGAAGGAGGGAGTTCCACATGATTTTGATTAGGGGAGAGATAACCCATCTAGAATTCAAAAAGGTATAGAAAGTGTTAATGACAGTTATCGAACATGGGGTAGGTGGCTGTCAGCGAGGGGTTCGAGGAGACTACCGCTCTTTAGTCGTCTGGTTGAGGGCCGACAAACACATCCTTTTAGTCAGCCACGCAAGTTGTCGGCCTGACATGGTAGGCGGTGTGCGAGTACTTATAGGGTTGATTTGGCGGGTAGACCTACAAGTGCTGACTTTCTAGTCGGCTACGTAATTTGTCGGTCTATCGAATCTGTTGCAAAGGCTGCTCAAGTTGTTTGGACTCTGATCATATTTGATTAGACGAGGAATGAGGCACGTGTCAACCCCAAAAGGTGGATTAACATTTAATTATTTGCAGGCTATAACAGAGAGATTTAACAGAAAAGACCCCAGTATTATAGTAAGTGACCATGATGTTTAGTCTAGGGGGTGTTTGGTTACATTTCTATAAATTATAGGTAATGTTTTCCATCCAAAATTTGATTTCCTTGTATTTCTTAAAAAAATTATAGGAAAAGTTTTGAGAAGTTAAAAAGTACAAATTTTCTTATTTTTTGTATTGTGCTTGTTTGGTTCAAAACAAGAAAACGACTCATAACTTTTGGGAAAATAGCAACATTTCCTATAATTTATAGAAATGTAACCAAACACCACCAACTTTATAGAAAAGTGAGAACTTTATAGAAAAGTGTTAATGAGTTTTATTATTTAAATAATGAATGCGTCAGATTTCCAAGAGATTTCCGCCCATTTTAGAAGGAAATCAATTTCTATAAATTTTGGTACTTTTCTATACTTTACAGAAAACACTTTTGTAAATCTTTTTTGAGCCAAACACAGTTTGTAGAAATCTATAGAAAACTCTTAATTACAGAAATGCCATTGTTTGTACTTTTTGAGAAAACATTTCTCAAAAACAATACAACCAAACACCCCCTAAGTGTTCATTTGGAGAAAATGAATCAATTAAAGCCAACTGGGCTGTTTTTGGTTTTCTTATCATAGAAAAGAGACTTCTGCTTAATAAAGCATGACAATAAAAGAGAAAGCAATAATGAATGACTTATTTGGTATGATAATAGAGTGGGGTGCTTGAAATTAACCCTTAGAATTTATGCTTTACATATAAGGACCGATTAATAACTTTTTGAATTACAATGTCCACGTGTAATGGCTTGGATCCATCCTCGTTGGGAGAGGGAATTAGGTTCTCTTTGCTTCCGTGCGTCACTTTGCTTACTACTCCATGATTTGGAGTTGGTTTGTAAATGAGCACTGCTAGTAGCCTAGCATTAATTTTTAGCCCTTATTCTTGATTCAAATTTGGTATTTGCTATTTAATGACTACTTGCATTCATTAAAAAGATACAATTGACTACTATTTTCTTGCATTCATTAGTAATTTATGGATCTACCTTTTTTTTTCGTTGACAAGGGAAACCCGGTCAGCGATCTTCCAACAATAACTCCTTTGAAGTCCGCCAGCGGCGCCCCTGGTTCGAATCCCTCAGGTTCCCACCTTTTGAAAGGAACTACCCTTGCTACCAGAGGCTCATCCCCACGTGAATGGGCGATATGGATCTACCTATTGATATTTATGAATGTAAACGGAATACGATCATGAATCATATATATTGCATTTCAAGTGAAGCAGTCATTTAAGGATCTAAATATGGAAATATGAGTTATAACCTCTTGGATGGGAAAATAACGAATCATCACAAAACAATACTCAAAACCATCATATTTAAATGTCAAACTAACAAAATCTTGATGTTATTGGCGACAGGGGACCATCAAATACTTTCTCACCTATTTGTTAATGTATATAGTTTCATTATATTCTTCTTAATGTACCTTTATCTATGCATCTAAAAAAGAAAAGGAGGGGTTAGGATCAAACCCTTTCAAAGCTCCCATCATTAAAATGACGATCATTACCATTTCTATATAGGCGAGTGAGCTCGCGCCGCGAGTTATATTCTCCACTCCCCTTTTTTTTTTTTTTTTTTTGGTTCCAAAGGCTGAGGAGAGCCAGGGGAACTAATTAAATACCTGCATCTAAGAATGGGAATATTTATATATATCTTTTTAATTAATTACTATCTTGAATTTACAAGAACCTCTGCTTTATTTGCTAATAATTAATGGCTAGCTACTTAATTAGTGGCGGTCATGCTGGAGGCATCAATGGTTATGATGAAATAATAATTAATGGCTAGCTACTTAATTAGTGGCGGTCATGCTGGAGGCATCAATGGTTATGATGAAAGAGAATGTGCAACGTCGTCGTGCAAAGACCAACGTCCAACGTTCATTTCCACGGTTACAGTAAAATAATAATAATCGGTTTCTATTATGATTTAATATAGAAGATTTAATATAATATCGTAGAAGTTCAGCATCAAATTTTAGACTTCTTTAAATTATAAAATCACGATCCTTTGTTCTTACTCTGATTTCAAAGTTCTGATGCGGTAAAAGATACTAGACTTCTTTTTTAACTATTTAAATGGAGTTCTAACATTTATTTTGCAGGGCTAGCTAGATGTGGTGTCTCATTATCATCCTTGTGGTGATTAGACTGTGGCTTAATTGGGACAACTTGTGTTTATAATTAAGCTGTATAGTCAACGAGCGTTGACTTATGAAGCCACGATATTCTCCGCTTGACCTTACGCATCTAGCTGGGGCGTACAATCTATGGAGATAAGCTTACGGGCACGCGCCTCAACGTACGCACTATAAGCTATAAGAAACGAGTAGGGATGCTTGCCAAAAAAAGAAGGAAATCAAGGAATAGGAAACCTATTTCCTTAAAAAATTATTTTATGGTTGTTTGGTTGGCTAAAAAAAAAAGAAGGAAATCAAATAATAGGAGATGAGTTGTCACAATATTATTGGATGATGTGAGTATTTTTTTAAGAAAAGT